CTTATAGGGTCAATTTGCACTTCTTAAAAGAAGCTGCTTGGTTTTCTCATTTGCTTATTACTTGAGGAAATATTCTTTTACTGTTAAAAGACAGTATAAGATGGTGATTTATGTAGCTAGGTCACAAAAGTGGAAAATAAACATTTAATGTGAGCAGAAGCATACACACACACACACACACACACACACACACACACCCTGTAAGCCTAGGATGCCTTGTTCACCCTTCTCAGTGCCCAGCGCTGCTTCCCAGTTTGAATCTCTAAGCAGAATGTTTGAAGTTATCTGTCCATGCCTTTTTCCTTTGTGTACACAACAGCAGAGGGACTCAGTGCTGAAGAGGTGACCGGCAGGGGGCGCCCAATAGCTTGTGGTTGCAGGGGAGGAAGGGCCCCATGTCCATCCCTGCCAAGGCTATGCAGAGGGGGGTTCCTACCTGGGTCACTCCTTTCTGCAAAGGCTACAATGTGGATCCCATTCAAATCATCTTCCTGTAGGAAAAAAGAATCAGAGGTTACTGTCTCAGGTGAAGAAATCGAAAGGAAAGTACCAGAAGCAAGGTCACAGAGGTGGGGATGGAAATGTTGGTGGGTAGGGACTGAGCAGAGGCAGAGAGAAACAGGCAGGGTGCGTGTCAGGGGAGGGAGCTCTTCTAAGCAGCCTGGGGGAATGCATGGAATTTTGATCAGGGATTCAGATACGGGGTTTACAAGGCCAGAAAACAGCAGCTAGGCCCAAGAGCACAGCACTAAGCGGGCTCACTCCTGTAGCCTGGGGATTCCAGGAGTGTCGGCAAAGTGGGGATGACTGTCAGCGGTTTGTCAGGGCTCCCTGGCCGCTCAGTGCTGTCAGTCTGTGGCAGGGTTTGCGCTGGCGAGCGGCTGACAGATCGTGAAGTTATCCCCAGGGGGGCAGCAGACAGGACTCCTGGAGGACAGTTAGGATGTGGCTACTGTGTGGTCCACACAAGAGTCCTTCAGAAGTCTGGAACCTCCAACATCTCTGATCCAGGCACTGGGACCCACGGATGAAGCAAGGAACGCTTCCGCGACTGCAAACTCCGGGTGCTTTCCGTGTGGTCCGTTCTGCTCTGAACCTAATGTTTGCTGAGTCAGTAGAGCACGGCCCTGAACACGGGAAGTCCGGAATTCAGGCCCAGGGACTGAGAAGAGTGGGCGTGGCTGTGGGGCAGGGCAAGCCGAAGAAACTGGAGGGAGTACTTCAATGTCTAAAGCAAGCAAGGCGTGCCCTGTGTCTCAGATGGGACCGACAGACTGCCTGTCTTTTGGGCATTCACTGTTCCTGGAGAAGAAAGAACAGGATTTCAGAGCAGCCTCTCTGGCATGAACCGCGCTCCTCAGGAGAGCTGAGTAGGAAGACGTGTGAGATCGAGGTGCTGGGGGCAGGCCAAATGAGTACCGACTGTGGCCAATGTGGAGAGGTGTTTATTGGACACCCTGAATGTCAGAATCATCCTATGGGGAAAACAACCTCCGAGAACCTCAACCCTCCTCTGATCTACATTTCCATTTCAATTGATTTTAATGCTGGTGCAATCCTATCTAAATGCTAATTTTTTCCTTTGCTTTTCGAATGGATAAAACCTCCAAAAATTCTATGAGAGATTAAATAGAAAATATTATTATTAAGAGTAAGAGAGTGGACACGGCCTCGGTCAGCCTCTCTGCGGAATTGGATTTTACAGATATATACGTGTGTGCACGCCAGTTTATTACAGAAATCTGACAGCAACCAGAAGGGGAGTCTGAGGTTTCGCTGTTTTACATTCGCTGTTATCCGCAGACAGAATATCCTGATCAGTTCTCATTAGGCAGCTCTGCGTCTCTGTCACCTACCATCAAGTGGAAGTGAGCGCTGTTGGCTCTCTGAAGCAGGCCTCATTTCTGCTTGTCCTTCTAGAACACGCTTGGAAATTGGTTTTAGAATGAAGAATCCATATTCATTTTCTACGAGGCCCCCATAATGTGCCTGTCACTCCCCAGGCCTGCGCAGTCCCCGGATGGAGAGCTGTAATCTCAGGACCAAGAGCCGCTCCGCATGCACCTCACACAGATTCAGCCCGCGAACCTGGGCTGAACGGCTGTGAAGAAGCTAGTGTGTGCTGGGTACCCCAAAAGCAAGAATCCATGGGTGGGGGCCGGGGAGATGGCTCAGGGGAATAAGCGCTTCCTTGGCAAGCGAGGACCTGAGTTCAATGCCTGGTTCTGCCAAAAAAAAAAAAAAAAA